TCAGAGGTAGCTGAATGTGGAATGTGTGATGTTGGTATTAATGTCATGTGATTACTTAAGCACTACACATGAGTGATTTAGCACTGCCCTAATCCCAGTAGTCTGAATGGGATAAAAGAGGCAGAAAGATGCGGTGAAGGTCCTTTGTTGCCTTTGCTACCTTGTGGCCGCCATGTTGTTTCTCTTTTGCGATGCCTGTTTGCTCTCCCTGCTTTGGAGCCATCCAAATATGGACTGAACCTCTACAACTGTGAGCCAAATAAACCCTTTCCTCTCTAACTTTGGGTGTTGGGTATTTTGTCTCAACAAGGAGAGAAAAGTAACTAACACAACAAATATAGATCTGCAATAAACAATTCAGGAGAAGGAAGAGATTGAGGAGTTTTAAATACATGGGATTATAGTCTCCATTTGGTTTTGTTGTATTTTAAAAAGCAGAAACCAATTTTGAATGTGGAATGCATTGAGTATACCCTTTATGGCAGCCATGCCTGTCGTGACAAAAGTGTAAATAAGAACAACTTTTTTTTTTTGTACCAGAGATCAAACTCAGGTCCTTGTACTTTCGAGGCAGGCAGTGGAACTACTGAGCTAAATCCCCGGCCCCTAAGACAACTTATTTTAAGAGCACATTGAGGGAAAGGCCTGATCTCTTAGGAATAAGCAGCTGCTGCATCGCCTGGGGAGGTTAGAGAATTTTGAGAGGGTTTGTAGTTACGATGGGAAAGAGAGTGAACTGCTGCCAAATTAAGGATGAGAAGAAGCCAGCCATGTCAAAGTCTAGGAGGACATTCTGGACAGAGAGAGCAGTGAGGCACATCTGTCCATCGTTTTAACATACTAGAATGGCCTTGGAAGCAGGAAGTACAATAACTTTCCTCATAATCACATAGTTTTATAACATATAAAAAAGGAAATGTATAAATAAGTGCTTGGGACATTTTAGACACAATAAATAAAAGTTCTTATGCTGCCCTTTTTAATTAAGGCTTTTTATACTTTTTTGAAGTTCTTAATTTGAAAAAAGTTGCATACAGTGTCTAATATTTGTGTACAATTATTTGAATATAAGATAAACTTATTATGAGTACATTTTTATTTTCAGCCATTTTTCCTATCAACAAAATTTTTACCAAAGCCATTATATATTTTCCCTGAGCCCTTGTTTACATAAATGAAGTTTCTTAGCTTGCCAAGTGTTTTAACACTAAAATGGCTTCTGTAATTTGAAATATTTAATGCTGATTTATAGCAGGTGTACTTCCAAGAATCTGTTTAATCAGCAAAGGGAAAGGGATAGTAGGGGGTAAAGGGAACAAAGGTGATCAAGAAATGATAATATGTGTACCAGTTCCTCAAAACAAATGTAATTATTATCTATCACAAACATACACTCATAAAAACAGCTTATAGTTTAAAAATATTTTATTTAAATCTGTATTTTTAAAAAATGTTATCCTTGTTGGGGAGTGCAAAGTAGAGTTAGGTATTCTGAAGCCAGATTAAAATAATCCACATCAGACAATATTTTCTCTTATGAATCTCTCCTGTGGCTTTCCAAGCTTGCTTTAAAGAGTCAGGACCCATGAGGCGATACAAAGTGGGCTGGACATAAGGTTTTCTTTGAAATGCTCTGGTTTGCAGTACATGCTTCCCATTATTAAATCTAATTGCTCTTTTTGTCTTTTTGAGACAAGGTCTCCCTGTGTAGTTCAGGCTGGCCTCAAACTCATGGCAATCCTCCTGTTTCAACCTCCCAACACTGTGATTACAGGCATGCGCCACCATGCCCAACTCTTACTGCTTTTAAGATAGAAAAATCAAGTATCTTAGTAGACAATGATAAGGAAATCTTTCTGTAACTCATTCCTGATATACTAATTTTAACAGA